ATCGGATGTTGAGCAACTAGAAGCTTGTTTGATGTTGTAGGTGGCATTATTTGGACCTGTAATATTGCTCCAGAGCATCTGTGTTTGTGTTAGGGTCTGCATGAATTCTTTATAGATGTATTTTGGCCCTGTTGGTAGGGAGACTTTGGAATACAAAGATTTTGGTCTGATTCAGCAGAACTTTGCTTAAAGTCATAAACTACAATCCAAGCAAACAGAATGGTTCTCCTCACAGAAGATCTTTTTATCCAGTTTTGGAAGATCCTCCCTTGTTCCTCCTCATTGCTCACCCCCATTCATCAGGGTTCTCTAACTGAATTCACGGAGCTGGAAGGGCTGCTGTGGGAAGGAGGGCAAAGCTAATCTACTCCTATCTGCCCAGTTGCATGCATGTAAATCTGGATTCCAAACATAATGTACAATTTGAAAGTATTGACCTCTGGGAGGAAAGAAATAACTCTAAAATGAATATAGTTTCTTGAATTATAAATATCATTTGAAGACTATCTATCTACTTCCACTGGAAATGTTTCATCCAAACAGATGTATTGTTCCAAATAGATATATTTTACATGGGAAACCAGTCAGAAGCATTTCTCTGTATACAAGAAGCTGCAGTTACCAATCAAAAAGGGCAAACTTGACCTTTCCAGTTTCAGAACTCATCATGCATTCATGGTTGGGCAAGCATAACACTAGACTGGGGAGATATTGGAGGTAGAATGTCCTGAATAGGCAGAATTGGAAAGGCATCAAATACTGCAACTGCTAAAGGGTGGCCCTAAGTTGTAATTATCTCCAGAATTCCCTATAAATGCTGGTGCTGCCAAGATTGGAAGAAGAAAATGGAGAAATTTGGAATTAACTCTTGCTTTTGTCTTGTAGTAACATGGACACTTCACATTGGAGCTGAGCCAGTAGTACAGAACGCAGGGATAAATCTTGGAATTCAGACTATAGTGTAGCTTTTTAAAAAGAAAGACTGCTCTGATGACCTTATGCCAAAATTAAACGTACCTGACATATTATTGTTATATGGCTTCAAGTTGTTTCTCACTTATGGTAAGGTAAAGGTTTTCCCCTGACATTAAGTCCAATCGTGTCCGACCCAGGGAGTTGGTGCTCATCTCAATTTCTAAGCCGAAGAGCCTGTGTTGTCCGTAGATGCTTCCAAGGTCATGTGGTTGGCATGACTGCATGGAGCGCCGTTACCTTTCCGCTGGGAGTGGTACCTATTGATCTACTCACGTTTGCATGTTTTCGAACTGCTGAATTGGCAGAAGCTGGGGCTAACAGTAGGAGTTCCCATTGCTCTCCGGATTCGAACCTGTGACCTTTTGGGGTCAGCAAGTTCAGCAGCTCAGCACTTTAACCCACTGCGCCACCAGGGGCTCCTGGTAACTCTAAGGAAAACTTATGGTAACTCTAAGGAACATCTTTGGGTATAACATGGTTTTGTGGGCAATATTTGTTTATAGAGGGGTGGCCTTTGCCTTCTTCTGAAGCTGAAAGAGTTCGACTTGCTCAAGGTCAGTTTGTGATTTTCCATGGTCAAACTGAGATTTGAACTCTGCTCTCCAAAATCTTGGTACAGCGGTCAAATTATTATGCCATGCTCATGCTTTCTACAGCTTTAAACATTACCTTAAGGTTATGTTCAGTCCAGATTTCCATGCAGCATCAGATTTTGTGCTTAAGATTTTTCTGTGTGCAATTCACTGTAGAACTATTTGCCACTGGAATGCAACAAAGGAAACAAGCCATAGATTATGAATTTTACAGGCAGATGTAGCAGCCAAATGGATCATTTTATTTTATATAATCTGTTTTAAAAGGCATTTTGCTAATCTGTTTTGCATATGCACAGAAACTTTCCCATGTCTTTTACTATAATAGAATTTCTGCTTTAAGTAACTTAATACAAAATAACTTGAATTACAGCTCTTTCATATTTTAACTTCCATTTATTTCGTGGGAATTAGCAAACATTTCAATATATCTTGCTAACATAACAGTTTGAATGACCAAAAGGAGTGGATTACTCATATTCTGCATTTGTGGATAACAATTTTATTAATAACTTTGAGTTTCAGTACTTTGCATACATTTAACAAAAAGTAAAATTCAACTAAGCTTTTGAAATTCACATTGATGAATCCTATGGCATCGGTTAACTTCCAAGTTGAGAAAGTCTCATGAGGAATTGTGGAAAGAATTACATCCAATTGAAACTGTTAACCTTTTGGAAATCAGTAGGACTAACTTCCATGAAAGTGCCCATAGGGTTGTGTTGCCTGTGTTTTTGATATGCAGTGACACCCTTACTGCTATGAGTCATGATTAAATATGTATTGGGAGTTTTTTTAATTGAGTCTTTCTTTTATTTATCACATTTTATGAAAACAGATCAGTTTTTTTAAGTTTATTGATCTCAAGTACAGTAGATACACAAGTTGAGGGTAGATTTTTGTGCCAAAAACTCGATGTGTCAAGGGTCATTCTGCAAAAATGAGAATACACCAATACATGAAGGAGGCTATCCACCAGGCTGCCACCTCTGCTATTTCCCTATTCAGATATTTTAAGAAGTAAGAAGTGACATCATTTTGGAGTTGGGGGCTGGGGGGGAGGGGTAGTGCTACTTTTAGATTCTCCTGGCATGTTCTTGCCTTTTGCCACTCTACTCAAAAAGAAGATGGTTCCCTTTTTATGTGAGTTAAGGTGCAGTATGCACATTGACCCATAGATAAGGTTTTTCAATTGATTTTTTGGTTAAAAATTTAAGATGTATGCATGAGTATATAGAGTAACAAAAATCCCCCTTTATCTAGAGTTATTTCCTTACCTTGAGATCATAAAGTACTTTTCTGTATACATTTTAGCACTAACAGTTTCAGTATGAAACACTTAAAAACTGGGAACTCTTGAATATCATTCTTCTGGCAAATCCTCTAGTACAGTGATTCTCAACCTGGGGTCCCCAGATATTTTTGGCTTTCAACTCCCAGAAATCCTAACAAATGGTAAACTGGCTGGGATTTCTGGGAGTTGTAGTTCAAAAACATCTGGGGATCCCAGGTTGAGAACCACTGCTCTAGTAATAGTGTTAAACATCATTGATTAATTTGTAATTGAATATAAATCTATCTATATATAATCTTTCTGACAAAGATAATTATATTTACTGCTTTATTTTTATATATGTATATATAAAACAATTTTCCAGTTAATTTCATTTAGACAATCTTTCTTCCTCTCTATACTTTGATGCAATAACCATAAAACATACCAGTCACTGTTTTTAGTTCTATCCAATAGAATTCAGAATTTCCACTCGTTTTATTTTTTTTTCTTTGTATTCATCCAGAACGGAGCTGTAAAATGTTTGTTTTTCCTCAGATGCTACTTCTCTTTCAGAATTAAAAATCTTGTTGTGTTCATTTGGTGATTAGTTGTGAATGCAGACATGCAGTTATTCTGGTTTCCAGCCCAAGGATCTGTATAAGCTTATAAAATCTTCCTCTGAACATCTCCAAGGATCTTAGAATTAGGGAATTCTGCAGGCTCCTCTTTCAGTAGAGGAACTTAATAATCACGTGACACCTTCAAAACGTTTTTTACTATTCATTATGATGACCCTATGAATTTGAGATTTCCAAGATTTGTACAGCCCTTACTGGGTCATGCAGACTTAAGACTATGGCTTCTTGGATTGATTTTAGCTTCTCTTAATGCAATCTATTTCTTTTTCTGTTATCTATTACCTCCCACTTTACCTAATATAATTGTATTTTTAATGAGGCATCTTGTGATATGCCCACCAAGAGATTTAAATAGAGAAAAAGACTTCTTTGTATTTGATAATAATGCAAGAAACTGCTTTGTCAAAAATGTTCAGAAGAGTAGGAATGAATTTTCAAGCTGCACAGATTTTTCTCCAGATATAGTATTCAAGAAATACTAACAAAATAGAATATCTTATCATGCCTAGAGTAATGATACAATTAAGCATCTGTAATATATGAGGAACAGGAAGGTTTAGCTGGAGATCCTCCCTACATATGTTGTAAAAGGCAAAAAAGCTGTATAAGATTATCTAATTTCCTACAGGACATTCGTACCTTTCTAAAACATTTCAGTCATACATAGTAACATTTTATATACGATTAATTTATTGGTGGAGGTGCTCAGAGGAAGATTATATAAGCTTATGCCTTTGTGGACAGATAGATATAAAAGTGATAAAATAAACATTTTCCTTCTTTTACATATTATACTTTGTTGTAGTAGTATGGAATACATCAGAATGGATCACAAAGATAACACAGCCCAACCCACCCCAAAAATTTGTGTTTTGTTTTTTAGACCTGTTTCTGAGGTTACTTGGGGGAGTGTCAATTCAAAAAATTGCATTGGATAAACCACAGCAGCTCTAGTTTTTTAGATATGGTTGAATTTATAATGGAAAGTTTGTATCATAAATGAGTGCTTTTTGGTATGGAAGAAGTAAATTTTCATGTGGTGCACTTTTCTTTTGATGTTTAATATGTTTTCGTCATGCTTAAAATATATTAATTTAAACACGACATTAAAATATCCTGATTTTTTATGGGTGAGCAGAGTGAAGAGTGGTATATGCCATATGTTCTGTATCTTAAAAATGAGAGCTGATATGGAAAAACTGGAATCATTTTTTAAATCAGCAGGTGAAGTGTGCCCAGAAACAAGTTTAATATTTGAGGCACCAAAATGAGTGTTAGCCAGTATAATCTCCTCTGACGTTCCTCCCCATACCCTTCCAAGCTCAGTCCAGTTTTACATCCAGATCCCCATAACCATCCCTATTCCAAGTTTGACCCCAACAACTGAATTTTGGGATTTTTGTTATTGTTTTTGTGGTTCTCATGATATTTGAAATTGGCAGGTTTCTCATGGTAATTAAGATATTAAGTGCTAAACTAATAAAGCTGATATCAAAACAACTTTGAAACTTTCCACAGGTACATCAACCCTTATAGAAGCTTTGGCAACGAATGGTACCAACATACAGGCATCTGTAACGGGAGTAACAGCCAACAAACGAAAATTTATTGATGAACGGAGGGACCAGCCTTTTGACAAAAGGCTACGATTCAGTGTGAGGCAAACAGAAAGTGCTTATCGATACAGAGACATTGTTGTAAGGAAACAAGATGGCTTCACACATATTTTATTGTCAACGAAATCATCGGAGAACAATTCATTAAATCCTGAGGTTAGAACCATTTGCTTACTTCTGATTGAGGAGGGGGTGTTTGCTGTAGCTGACGTTATGAATTATTTATATAGTACTATCAGTCTGTGAAGGCAATTTACATTGGTCCAGTAGCAAAAAGACAGATCCTATTGGATCTTTCAATCTAAATTTAAAGCAGCTTAGACAAATACTTCTTAAACCACAGTGCCCAGAATGCTATAGCCATGTTGAGTAGGCTTATGAGGGGTGGAACTGTAGTCCAAAGAGTACCTTTTCCAAGCTCTCACTTGAAGGTGGAATATAAGCAGAGATGAATTTGAGTAATGTATCTAATGCTGACAATGTTTGAGGAGGGACTTGAATGAATTCTGACACATGGAATTCCATAAATTTCCAGGAAAGATGTTTTAGCAGTAAAGAAGAATGAATGGTGGCAGGATTTGGAAACTTCAGAAAACTGGGAATCATTAAAGTGACTGAAAATGCTAGAATTGCAATAGTGAAAGTCATGGGTTAAAGGAACACGGGAAACGTTGTTTTTAGATTTGTTATTATTTTGTTTTCTCTTCATAAGACTTCTAAATTAATGTTTAAAAAATAGAAAAAGGGCAAAAAGTTGTACAAATCTACATGTTAGTATTACAAATTACGTTAAAACCAAGCCCTAAATTCAGTTGATAGTCCTGGGTAGGCTCATTGAATCAATAAAATTTACATAAATTAATCTACCAAGTTCTTATTAATTTAATAGTTCATCTGTGATTGGGACTAACCTGAAAATATTTTAGATATTTTAACTAATGAATTTAAAATTAGCGCAAAGGGAGATTTGATGTTTCAAATCGAAGCCATTTTAATTTATTGCTGTTTTATATCTTGAATTTTTGTCCTATGTTTTAATAGTTTATAAAATATCATATTTGCTAATAATTGAGACATTATTTTCAATAATCTCATGAATCCATCAAACCTATACAGATTTACCTAGTAGTCAGTTCAGATGGCTTCCTTCTGAGTAGATGTGCAAAGATTTGTGATGTTTTCAGGATGTTTTCTGTATTGTTTTATGTTATTTCCTTTCTGTATGAAAAAGGGAACTTTGAAATGAACCTTATCCTAAATTTAGATTTTTCTGTATTGGTTGCATATGCCACCTGCTGTTCAAAGCACAGAAATGCTGCATAAATGCAAAATCCTAGAATACAATGTTTTGCAATGTTGTGTTTTCATGTGTTTAATATGTCTTAATTCCAGGTAATGAAAGAAGTCCAAAGTGCACTGAGCACAGCAGCAGCTGATGACAGTAAAGTTGTACTGCTCAGTGCAGTTGGCAGTGTTTTTTGCTGTGGCCTTGACTTCATTTATTTTATTCGACGCTTGACAGATGACAGAAAAAGGGAAAGCACAAAGATGGCAGATGCTATTAGGTTTGTTCATTTATTTTTGTAATTTTGCCTAGTGAAATGTGAGCTCAGAAAAACCATATCCTTCATGCAATAAGTACCGTAATTGAATTCAGCTATGATATAAAATCTAATAATTCTGCTCACATTTGGAGTAATGATATTACATTAAATTGTCAATAGAGAGATGTTGTTCATTTTGAAAACCATTACAGTTTATCAAAATAAAATTGGAAGCAAGATTGTCAGTAGGCAAGATCTATAGACTGATTATTTTAACCCCCCCCCCCCAAAAAAAACCCTTTCTTTCTGGGTTTCATCTTTATGGCAACAAAATTGTATGTTATTACAAAATGCATTGTGCTTTGCTCCATTTGTATTCTCCATTCCTTCTCAAGGGAGGGAATTTGAAGCTTTTTTTTTGTGAAGACCAGGGTTCATCACAATCTCTAAAACCAAAACTAAGTTTGGGAGGGGAGGGAATTGGTTGCTTATAATTAATGTGTATTTATGTGCAGTATAAACTATATTTGTCATTGTAAATTTAGTGCTTTATGAACCAACATCTATTTTCCTCTGAACAAATTGTATCATAACTTATTCTACATTTGCATACATTTTTTTCTCCAAAGTTCTATAAATTAAAAGCAATAATTCTCATATCCACTTTGGTTTTTTTAGTGGATGAATTTGTTGAACCAATGAACGAAGTTCAATATTTTGCCAGGAGAGGCCAACCACTCCCTGTAGACAGCTTTACAACAGCACTTATAAGATTATAACAATATTTCCCTATTGAGAAATGAGCAAACTTTTCTTAAGCATGCAGACATTAGTTGGCTTCAGATTCCGAAATAAGTTATCATGGGATTTCTTCCTTCATAATGAACTGTAGAAAACTTAGAAGATTTGCTGAAATGCAAAGACTACAGTAGTCCACCCATTAATCTCAGAGGATGCATTCCAGAACCTCCAGTAGATGCTTGAAAGTTCAGATAGTACTAAATCATTCTCATATATATACACACACATACATACATACATACATACATACATACATACATACATACACACACACACACACTGTATGTTTTTTCCCTGTGTGTGTGTATTTGTGGGTCATCTATGCAGGGAACTAGACAGGAGGAATGTGTCCCTGTTGGTTCTCTTGGACTGCTCAGCGGACTTCTATACCATAGACCATGGTATCCTTCTGGGGCGCCTTGCGGGAATGGGACTTGGAGGCCCTGTTTTACAGTGTGTCCAGTCCTTCTTGGAGGATTGCTCCCAGAAGGAGTTGCCTCGCAGCCTTTGTCCTGTGGGGTTCTGCAGGGCTCAGTATTGTCCCCCATGTTGTTTAACATTACAAGTTGTCCAATGGGCGGCAGCCAGATTGCTTACCGGAGCAGTGTACAGGAAGCATACAATCCCCTGTTATGTCAGCTCCACTGACTGCCAGTCTGCTACCGAGTACAGTTGTCTGGTTGATACTGACACGATAAATAAATAATAAATACCGAGTACAATTCAAAGTGTTGGCTATAAAGCTCTAAATGGTTCTAGCCCAGCTTACCTGTCCAAACTTATCTCCCCCTATGAACCAGCTCAGATGCTAAGATCTGCCAAGGAGGCCCTGCTCTCTGCCCCGCATCCTTCGCAGACACTACTGTGGGAATAAGAGACAGGGCCTTCTCAGTGGTGGCCCCTTGGCTATGGATCTCCCTCCCCAGTTATATCAGATCAGCTCCCTCCCACCTGGTTTTTTGAAAGAAAGTTAAAACCTGGCTGTGGAACCAGGTGATTGGGGAGTAGCACAACCACAGTGCAATATACATCCCCAGTACCAATATAAACAAAGCAGCTTGAATTTTGACTACAATGTTTTAATATGTTTTTAACAGTTTTAATCGTATTTATATGTTTATTTGATTGTATAGTTTAATGTATGTTTTTGCTTTTTTGTCTCAATGTGGCATTGAATAATTGCCAAAATTGGAAGCCGCTCTGAGTCCCCTTCAGGGTGAAATAGAGCAGGGTAGAAATACAGTAACTAAATAAATATTTATATATATTAGGCACGGTAAGAGATGAATAACAATAACTAACAAGAAAACAGTAACTGAAACTGTGGAAAGTTAAAACCACGGATAGGGGAGGGAAGTTGCTGTTTACAAATAATACTTCACTTTTCTGGGAAGCCCTCTAGGATCAGCAGTTGATTTTTTTGTGGGTTGCATCAATCTGTGGAACACCATTTTGAATAACATTATTTTGAAAAACACTGATTTTAATGAATGATGGATTTTAGAAGTATAACTAACGCCATCATGTTTTTTGTTTTTATCTTTTGGCGATGATTACTCTTTGTTTGCCTCCAAAATCAATGAATGAATTGTTTATTGTACCAGCCATAGGCCATGACATGACATAATACACAACCTTTAAAAGTACAATAAGCACTTTCCAATATAAACAGTAAAACTTATTCCATATCCTGGCTCTTTAAAATTATAGTAGCAGTGACATGAGAACAATCACGAATGTATCATCCCAAACTATCTCCATTTCCATTTCTAGCCTCTACTGTGGATTTCACTAATTTAGCTCGGATTTTCTCAGCCTTTTGGCTAAGATCAAGTATAGTATCTGCTTCCAAAATCAAGTGTTGACCAGGGAGAGGGAGGGTCAAGGTGTAAGATTTCTTTGGCCATTCTGCTGCAGCATCAAGCAGGCTAATAGGCAACATTTGGATAAAACCCTTTAAAACATACAATGTATAGTATATATAAAGGGTTTTATCCAAATTTTGCCTATTAGCCTGCTTGATGATGCTGCAGCAGAATTGCACAATTTTGCAAAGATGGAGATTATCCCTCTAACAAACAAATACTTTCAGACTATTAGCTACACAGATGGAAATTTTGAAATCTTCTGAAAATCTAAACCTTTGATTAGTTTTTCTTAGAGTTTTGTCCTTTAATTCAAACTTCTCAGAATCGTTCCCTGTAATTCATGGATCAAAATAAAATGGCAGAAATCAGTGCAGCAATGAAGAGCAGTACTTTGTATATAATGGAATACTATTACATTTTAAGATTATGTACATCCCTGTCTCTTGCTTTCTTGGCATTATCCATACTGCCGCCTACTGATGCATTGACTTAATAGAACGACAACTGGGAGAGATTCCCCTTGCTCTGTCCTCCAAAATATGCTCAACAGATTTTAGGGGAATCTCCAGAGCAAAGTCAGAGGCAAAGTTCCACTACACAGAGAGAACTCTGCTTTCACAGTGTTTGCTTTTTCCCTGTGTTATAAAGTGATTCTGTCCAGTAATTCAATTCTTTACTTAATAGAAATATGAGAAAAATAATCACACCATATATTTCAAGAAAAGCTGTAGGACAGTGGTTCTCAACCTGTGGGTCCCCAGGTGTTTTGGCCTACAACTCCCAAAATTCCCAGCCAGTTTACTAGCTATTTGGATTTCTGGAAGTTGAAGGCCAAAACATCTGGGGACCCACAGGTTGAGAACCACTGCGTCAGAATTATCAAGGGCCATGAAACATTCGGGGGAAGGAGAGATCTTAATGAATTGATTTTAAAAGTGTGGATGAAGAGGCACACACCCCTCCAAGAATCTATTATTCAATAATACACAACAAAAATAATTTAACAGTTGGGAATAAAATACTGTTTTAGAAGAAATTTGTCATGTGGCATGCGTTAACTACTGTAAATAGTTGATGTCTCCACAAAGACATACTTTTTTATTTTAGAACCATGTTTACAGTCTAAAACAGTTGTGTATCCCGGACTTCCATTTGATCACCTGACCTCTTACTCTATTCCCCCCAGAAACTAAGTGATATTCTGAGTCATATAAGTATAACCTTCTTTTATTCTTTGGATAAGAAAATGTGATTGTGCATAGTAATGTCTTAGGTAAGCCTAGGCAAGTATTTCGTTACTCTGCTGTCAGAGCAGATCTGCTTTTGAGGTGGATGTGCTTATTGCTTCTAAAATGTGAGTTGTCATTGGCTATTTATTTTATTTCAGGAACTTTGTTAATACTTTCATTCAGTTTAAGAAGCCCATCATTGTAGCAGTAAATGGTCCAGCCATTGGTCTCGGAGCATCAATATTACCTCTCTGCGATGTGATTTGGGCTAATGAGAAGGCTTGGTTTCAGACGCCATATACAACATTTGGGCAAAGTCCTGATGGATGTTCATCCCTCACATTCCCAAGAATAATGGGCCTGGCATCTGTAAGTAATCTGTGGAAGAATTCTATGTCATAGCAATGTTGGTTCTTTTGGTGCTCCCTCTTTCATCATAAATATGTGTTGTGACCTAAACATAACTTGCCCCCTAGAATGTTTTGTAAATAGAATATCAACAATGATACCCTTCTTATTACATTGTATGTCTATATCTGTCTGGAAGTAGCTTGCCAATTTCATTACATTCCTCCAGATTGTTAGTGTTCAAGTGCCATGTCTGAAATAAACATGTATATAATTTTTAAAAAGCATTCTACCTTCAAAAGCTGCAGCATTTCAACCGATCCAGCCCAGGAAAACCTTTTTTTCTACTGTCCCAATATATAAAACTTTAGTCCTTCTGCTGGATTGTTCCAGAATTTTGACAGAAACCCCAAGCTCTTCGGGGTGCAAATATCTCTGGCTCCTGATCACTCATTGTCTGTTGCTAACAATGGCTGCAATCCAGTATGCAGTTCAGTGTGCATAAATACCGTTGATTCCTTTGGGACTAAAGGGCCTGTGCTTTGGATTACAGCTGTTGAGTTTAACGTAGAACGTTGGGCTTGATCCTATAGAAGAAGGAAATTGGGCTTTTATTTTTAGTGATTCTGTATTAATAACAAATTCTTTGTGTGTGTGAGAGAGAGAGGGAGGCAGGGAGAGAGTACACATATAAGGAATATTGTATTTAAGATGTGAACACTTAATAGTCTGTATTTCTTCTGCATGCCATATGTGTCTATTTCTGCCTTTCGTTTGATATCTATACAATATGAAACCAAAATTGCACTCATATAATAATAATAATAATAATTATTATTATTAATAATAATAATAATAATAATAATAATAATAAATAGTAAAAAAATATTTATAGACTCCCCTATCTCCCCAAGGGTACTCAGGGTGGTTTCCAACACATATGGCAAGCATTCAATGCCAACAAAGAAACATATCAATAAATTACATCAAAACAAGATACATCAAACAATATAAAACAGACTAACTGTAAACTTAATGCCAAATAATAATATACCAAAAAAAATCAAACTAACAATCCTAGCAGACAAAACCGCATCATATAAATTTACACAAAATAAAACACTTAAAACAGCTGAACCCGTACTAAGAGATAGGATGGTTTCCAACAACTGATAAGCTGAGGTCAGTTCCAGTATATATAAATTTTAATGTATCTGAACTTAGAGAATCTAATTCAGCATTTTCCCCATACATAAAACATGTGTTTTTGCTTAATAAGTACAGAATATTGTACTCTTGTTCCTACCACTACATAAGACTTACGTAACATAGCCTAAAATGGTAATCCCTTCCTTCTGTGTGTTGTTTTGACTAAAATAATGTGTTTTCATTCTTGCTTTCTGAATTGTCCTTCTCTTATACAGAGTAGTGTTCATATTGTACACTTGGTAAATTATGGCCTCTTTGGAACACATTAATATACTTCTAACATATGTTAAATGGAGAATTGTACTCTCAGGAGAAACACCAGTAACTCTTACTATCTTATTTTCTTTGTCATGTTGCATTTATGAGAATGGAATACAACAGTCCTTTTAAAATATTTTTGTTCACTGTTTTCAACATTTCTTGCAAAAGAATGCACTCAAGTAACAAAATAAATTTTAGTAACAAATCTATAATTTCAAAGTGGGATCTAACATCTCTCTGTGCATGTGTGTGTATGAAGCATAGGCTCAATTCAGTTGTAACATTCCTGTCTTAATAAGCCATAATTATTAAACCCGAAACAGTTAGCACTTGACTCTTCTCTTAAGTATCTTTAGTGTTTCAGTCCTAATTTGCTTAAACTATAAACAAACAAACCACAATGAAACTGTGGTGTACAGTCATGTTTGCAAAATAAACTGAAATTCCAAAACATGAAGATGCTACCAACTAATGTAATGCTATGCCTGCTCTATATCACAATATTTATATTGTAATTAAAAATAAAAAAGGAAATGTTACAGTGGCCATATTTGCTACCATCATGTCCCATACACATTGTTTTGTGTTCATTTTTTTAGTCTAGCCTACAGGTAACTTTAAAATTAGACTTTCTCAGAATAATTATAAATATTTATGGAGTTTCTCTATATAGTTGTCTAAACTGGATTTCCCAGCTTCCTGCACTGCTCCTTCTCTCAAGCTTTATTTAAGAGATTATTTAAGAGAAGTACGATTCCATTCACATCAGACTATTCTCCCAGTCCCAATTTAGATTGTTTCCCTAATCAACAGAACCACCATTTTCTCAGAACCACCATTAATCTAAATATCTTTGTTTTAAAAAGAAAAAAGGAAGTTGGTATTACATATCAGCATAGTGATGAGACTTGACACCAACAGTTGAGATGACTTCTCTCAGATGCTTTATGGAGAATTTAAAGAGCAACTCTGATAGATAGTTGTGAAGCCTCAAAGGTAAATGAAAATAGATCTGAGATGTCTCCTATCATCTGAAAATGTTCATTCAAACGTACGCAAAATACTCCAAAAGAATATCCCCACATCCAAGGAATGTGTTGTGAAAGGCGGCTGAGAGTTGCAGCAAAGTCAACAGGTTGTAACTTTCCAGCTCCTGGTATGGGTCTTCTACAAAGATCCTCAAAGTCATTTCCATTTCCAGTCCAACACTGAACCCAGATTGGAAAGAATCCAAATTAGTTTCATTCACAAAAGCCTAGCTCAGCAATGTACACTTTGAGTATTATATATTCATGAATTTAGATTTCTTTTTGTACTTGAAATAAGCCACATGCCAATATATAATTTGTTCTCTTCCCCATTCATAATGCATTGGTTTCAGGTAAGTCAGTGTCTTTTCTGCCTAGTTATATTCTAATGTAAGTTTCTACCTGGATTTTCCTTTGAAAGATGCCTATATTTATGTTTATATATTTTTGAATTTAATAGGCTTTTTTGGCATGACCCTGGGCTCATTCTCTGCAGACTTTTAAAACATGGCCTGCTTAAGTCATAGAAGTATGACACATGAATATCTCAGAGGCATGCTTTATGCCCTCAAGCTTGTTGGCTTAATATTCTGTTGAGTCTCTTTTCTTAGATGGTTCTTAGCTTTTTATTCCATTGTTTAGTGAGCTCTAACTATCCATGGGCTCTGGATTTGTCAATTCAACCATCCATGGATCAAAAATATTATATATATATATATAGAGAGAGAGAGAGATACATACATACATACATACATACATACATACATACATACAAATCAAATGTGGAAAAAAGAGTATTCAAGAAATAAATATCATAAGCAATGCAGGACATCTAATTTCTCTCTTGCCGCTTCCCAGTGACCTTGCAAAAGACCGATGGTGGAAGCTGTTCCCACCTGCCCATTCCAGCTTGGCAATCAATTCCCTCTCTTTTTTTTCTTGCTGTCTGGCCCATGTACACAAAAGAAAGCCAGGAATAGGGCTTTCTCCTAGTGAACAGCAAGGCTGAGCTGTAAATATTTTGAATTACTGCTGTAATTATCATGTTTTCCCTGTTCCCTGGGATACTTTGATTCCTTCCATAAACTTTCCTGGGAACATTTCATATGTATAATGTAAAAGAGGGACAAATAACAAAATGCTTGAGCTCAAAAATCTTTTATTTCATTAGTCCTAATGAAAAGTTAAGAGATTGAAACAAACAACTATTCCATTGTGATGAGTTGAGGAAAACTATGAGCTTGTTATATACCAAATCTGTTAAAATTGGAAATGCAGATGAACTTGGCATTTGTGGCTCTTGCATGCAGAACATCTGTCCTACTACTGACTGATCTTTGCAAACTATGCTGCTTGATTGGGAAGAAAGTGGAAGAGGTACTAAAAAATTCTGATTAAGAATTCTCCGTCCCTGATTCACTGGCTGGTTTTTGTAGCCTATCACTTTAGTGATTTAGCATCCTCTTGGCTGAAGCAACCACATCACTCTTTATTAATGTTTTAACAAACAGAGTGTTTGAAGGCTGAATGGATACGTGTCTATGTTGAAGGGTATAAATGAGAGAAAAGAGATGCATGTTGGTGACAAAACATAATTGAACATTCTGTATTATAGGATGAAATTCCCTCCTCAAGAAACCTAACAGTTTCAAGATGTATTGGATTTCCACCATCGCTACACAAAAATTATACTTTGGGATAAAGTCAACAGGCAGTTTGAGGGCATGCATACATGTTGAATATCTGGCAAAAAAATTTCCATTTTTTAAATAGCAAAACATTTTTTAAGAAGTCGGCAACAAAATGTGCCTCTAAGGTTCAATAGTAACAACCTCTGTAGAATTCTTTATAAAATCCCAGTCTTTCCCCCCCAAAAAAATAACAATATATGCAAGGAGTTTGTGTTAATTCAGATGATCACATCTCCGATTTTCTACTGTTTAAACATTTAAAAAAATATTTTTTCATCATAGTCTTCCAAATTCTAATATTTATGAGGACTAACTACAACATTCCACTAGTATTCGATGGTCCAAAAACTAGTAACTGAGGAGCTGTAAAGCCAAAATTTTGGCCAGATGTGTTAAATCATGGGTTCTACGGTTAAACTTTGTCTCAGGTTGGAGAATGAAGCTTGCTGTGTCTGATTGATGTGTAGGTGTCAAATTAAATCTTACAATACCTCCCAAGTGAAAAATAAAATGGTGGGCCTCCATTGTTGCTATCTCTGGAAATGAAAGACTAAATGCAAAGTCTGTGACAAAAAACATAATCAGGTAGTGAATGTAATTTGTGGAATAATGAAAAAGTTTGCAGCCATTGCAGGTACGATGATGAAAAGTCAGTTGAAAGATCTGTATTTATATCTTCCATATTCCTGAAATAAAAAGTCAAATTTGCTGGGTTAATAATTTGAAATCTAGTCACTGTACCCCCCCCCCCAAAGATATTATCATCATTATCATCTATCACAGTAGTATTTATCCACAAAGTTTGCTTCCTAATAAAGGTTAAATTTCACATAAAATATGAGATGCGTGTGTCGTGAGCAGAGCCATTGTACTTGTACTTACCTTTAATTAACTCGACTTAAATACCAACATTGTAGTTAATGTGTTTGTCCAGGATCTTTATTTCTGTTGAACTAATGCTTACAAATATGTAGTTCTGCAGATTGCTTCTGACAGAAAATTTTATAGTCTTAAAAGGATTTTTAATTATAAAAAGTAAAACGGATGTCATTTAAGTAGCACTTCTGTCTAATCAGCTAACATTCCTAAAAGTGGACAGTTTTGTTAGCAATGATCCCTCTGTCAGTAATTCTACAGAACATAAACCTGGGCTACCAAACAGCAAGAAATTCACAAAAAAAAATCCCACTTGCTGTACATGGATGATCTAAAGTTTTACAGAAAATCAGAAACAGAAATCCAGTCACTAACCAACACAGTCAGAATCTTCAGCACTGACATCAGTATGGAATTCGGCCTAGACAAATGTGCCACAGTGGCATTAAAGAAAGGGAAAATTACTCACAATTGTTTCTTTAATTTTTATTTTTATTTTCCCTTCCTGCTTTACTTTTTAATCTCTTCTTCTTGATAGTTAAATATAACCATTTCTGATTTATTCCTATTGATTTGTAGACCTGTTATTAATCCCAACTCGTTAGATAGGCCTCAGTTTTTCCCATTGTTTTATTGAATTTTCTATTGCTAAAAGGGCATCATCTGCAAACATGATGATGCCCCTTTAGCAATGCAATGCAACCTGAGCCCAGCCACATGCACCATGGAGGACCTTCTTGCAGCAACACCAGAAACACTCCAAGTGGCAAGATACTGGTCAAAGGACATTTAATCAACTACCAAACTCACACATTTTGTATTTTCTCTGTTTGTTTGCTTTGTTCTGTTAGAAATGTAATATAATTGACTGGCTGCCCTGACACGAGAAATAAATAAATCTGCAAACAGATTTATTTTACGTTTTTCCTTATTCCTATTCTTTTTATACTACTCTCTTCTCTTATTACAGTAGCTAATAATTCCATTATTATTTTAAATAGAATTGAGGAAAGGAGACATCCCTGCCTTGTGCTTGGGTTTTCCCATAACCTGTGAAAAATATTTCTTATGCACCTTTTTCTGCTAAATTAAGGGCACATAAACAATATCAAACTAAAATACATCTTTTAGTTTTTAGCTTCTATTACATAAAAAAATAGAAATACCAATAATGGCACATTTGTGAGTCATTTTGTGATGTGGCTCAAAGCCACACTATTATTAACCAGGCTCCTGAGAATCAGAGAAGTGGGAAATGACTTCCAAACCCACCTATCTTTTTGGTTTTTTGTTTGCAACTTTACCATTCAAGATTTGGGTCACTCTAATTCTTTGCTGTAGGCTCTCCACTTTTGCAGGGGTTAGGGACACAGGGCCCCTATGAAAGTGGGGAAACCACAAATTCAAATTAAAAAACAGCCTTTTAACCTGAGAGAACACCTCAGTGGGAATACCAGAGTTTTCCAAGTGACTCAATGTAAACGTCCACCTGAAGGACTCTCAAGAATCCAAGAGCTCTCATATTAATCATATCTGAAAAATTCACTGGCCAACACACATTTTGGTGCCTCAAACATTAGCCCTATCTCTGTGTATATTTGACCTAACTGATTCCAAAAATGGCATCAGTTTTCTTCTATCAGCATTATGTTTTGAGATACAGAACATATGTCATCTACCAGTCGCCATTAAACATATCTAAGAAACTAGAATTGAAGCAATGCAACATCTTATGCAGTTTTCTGAATCAGGGCCCCCAAATAACCCCAGGAACAGGCCTGAAATGCAAGACATCAAGAAAAAATATTTTATTTTATTGGGCTGTGGATCAGATCCGCAAGACTTGCAAATGTGGAAGGCTGTTGGATAGTGTCTCAAGCTGCAAATTCATACAATTTAGCCAAGAACTTCCTATTTTTTTCAGAAATTGAGTTCTAATGTTGAAAGATTGTGTATTGTTTACTTGGCAATCTCTGAAGGATATTGAGCTTCTCTTACATTTGTGCACTATCTGTCTCTGCCCCCACCGGCCGTTAGCAATTTGCCCTTATTTTGAAGTGGTCCAGGTTGTTTGGCTTCCACATAGCCCCCAGCTGCCACTGCCTTCATTAATCTGATGTCATAAATAGTCTCAAAAATATTGAGTTGGAGCTGCTTGGTACTTGACGGTGTGGTAGGTTTGAAGTGGTGGAATTATATTATCAGGTCCATGAGCAAATGAAGAAAGTTAATTCTTTTCACCCGCACCAGTATTCTTGATTATACCTTCGTGGTACAGGTTAACTTCAGTGGCCTTTGAAGCTTTTAGTGGAAGCAGAGACAACACCCTGTTCATTTGTATGCAGTAATTATGAGCTTTGATGTGCTTTACAGGGAAATTTGGTACTTGAACGCATGCAGCTCAGTGCTTGGCTGCATCTTAATGAGCAGCAGACTGCATGGAATGTGCTGAGGAAACATGGTAGTGTTGGATCATTTAAATAAGAGTCGTTACTAAAATGAATCCAAGTGGAAATAATTTCTGTTGCGCTTCAGCAAGCTAGATAGCTTTCAGATTAAACAAGGACTACAAGAATGGATGTATGCAGTAGACTACCTCATCTTTTTGCATTCTTCCTTAAGAAAGTGTGTGGTAAACTATAATAATCATTTGTCTCCAGTTCCAAAAAGATCATGCTGAGTTGAATGAGCTGTCTGTGGTGATCAAGCGTAAATCTCTGTTGTTAAAAATTGAATGTATTTTTGTTGCAATTTTTTATCCCATTGTGGCCCAAATAGTTTTAGCTACTCTCTACTGATAGGAGGAATTCCCTCACTAACTTCGAAGCTAAAATATGCAGAGCTTTTCTAATTAAACAAATAGAATTGCTAGGAAAAATTCAAGCCAATTAAAATTCAATCCTCATTTCATTTACAGGATCTTCCATGTACATGATCTGTTCACAAGAAAGTGTATTTTAAAAACTGGGAATTATTTATCGTTAAGTGTGTTTCCTTTTTTTGTGAGAAACTATTTCTGGCTGCATCATTTGATATGCGCCTCTTTTGCAAAGCTTCTTAATATCAAACCATGCTATCTCTCTTCCGTACTTATAGCTTGTTGCAAACTTTAATTGGTTGCTCATTCTGCAAAAAAAATTGAATTGATGAAGGATATGAGGGCATATTTGTTTGTTTTGATCTTTTTAATAATAGGGAGCAAAGAAGAAAATACTAAGATCATTTTTCCTTATTATAATAATAACTGTTCTTTTCCTTTATTTTCTCTCATTTCCTTCATTATCTGATTCTTATGGAAGATTTGGCAGTATGTGTATTTAATTGTGATCAGTTCTTGCACATATTAGTTTGATATTATGTGACTTGCCTAATTTCTGGGTAGAATATTTACGGTAGGTGTTGCTTCTGTACACAGCTGCAGTTAATACCATCTTTTAGCCATAGTTCGGTACCCAATAAATTGCATATATCCTGTTCATTTTATGCAGTTCTGAAGCAACGTCTGAGTTATTCCATTTACTATTTTAGAAAATGGTAGTAGAGTGGGGAAAATGCTCTTTTTTCTTTAAAAGTGACAATTAAAGTGTATGCACTCTACGTCCTGTTTGTTGTAGATTCGGACTCCTAAAGGCCTTCTTGTAGTGTGGATCCACTTTCAAAGTGGAAATGTTGGGGTGGGGGATCTCTGTCATCGAATTTAAGGGCATATACAACAGTTGGATCTGGGGCAAATGGCTCCTGATCCATGGATTGTCCATTCGTGTATTACCCACCAATCTTGGTGGTCCCATTATATATTCTGGCTGGACAGAAGTATGAAGGGAGCCATTTGTCAGCTTGTTTCTTTGAACGTTTTGTTTTGGTTACCCTGTATACACATGTATGAGTCTAGAAATTTTAGTCAAAAACCTTAAAATCTTGGGTTGATATATCCATGGTCACTGTGACTAATACCTTAATACTTACCAAAAATCCATCTCTGAGTAGAGTGGCGAAAGGCAAGAAATTTGTCCATCCTGGGAGCACCAAAAAGAAATGGCAGACATCCTCACAACCTCTGAGGATGCCTGCCATAGATGTGGGCAAAACATCAGGAGGTAATGCTTCTGGAATATGGCCATACAACCCGGAAAACTCACAGCAACCCAACCTAAAAGAACTTGAACTTATTCACTGATTATATCAAAACCCATATTTTTGGCCCTCATACTTGTCCTCGATGTATACATGAGGTTTACTTATTCATGCATATGTATGGTACATTAAAACAGTACTCTGATAGTTGCTGCAATTGTCAGGAATCCTGGAAGCTGAAGTCCAAATCATCTGGAGGGCCACAGGTCTAGATTCTTCTTTGTTTTGTGGGAGTGATTGGAGGGTGGGAGGACAGTGTATCTAGTATAATCAGCTTTGTCAGGATGTTCTTTCCCTTGGCCTCTGCTGCCACATCCTGACACAACTGGTATTCCACCCCCAGCCCAGAGGGGCACTATATGGAAGGCCATGGGGGATGTCTAAAAAGATGTCTATTTCTTCCATGGACTCTTAAAATGCTGTTCCAAGTCTACAACTCTACAGAAAAAAGAGGAAAACAAAGCAATAGTAGATATATCACTTAATTGTTCCAGCTAGGTTTTTAAAGATACTACCATTGTGTTTGTTTGTTTTTTTAAAAAACATTCTATTTTTTTCTCCTTTTCAGGCAAATGAAATGTTGTTCAGTGGAAGGAAGCTTACTGCCCAAGAAGCCTGTGCAAAAGGCCTGGTATCTCAAGTGTTCTGGCCGGGTACATTCACACAAGAAGTTATGGTTCGAATTAAGGAACTTGTCGCATGTAATTCAGTTGTAAGTTGCTTTTATCGTATTTCACCCAAGGCTGAACAAGCAAGAACTCTTTGTAATCACTAAGGATTACTTCACACTGTGGATGTTTTCAGTACACAAATGATGCTGGGGGAATCATGCATGGGGAAATCACAGGGTCCATTAGACTATGTATGGATACAGGCAGTCAGTTTTAATAATAATTCCAGCACTTGTCACAATCACCACAAGTGGAAAAATTGCTCACAGTTATCTATGCACTTCCTTCTTCATGTTTCCTTTAAGTTTACATGATACGTTAATGCTTTTCCCTTTGCCTGACTGTATGAACATGCCCCATTAATAGTATTCTGGTATCCAACAAGGAGACACTAGCATTTTATAGTTCTTTTCGTACTGAGCTACAACTCTGGAGACCAGAGTTCGAATCCCCGATCTCCCATGAAACCCACTGGGTGACCATAGGCAAATTACATTTTCTCAGCCTCAGAGGACGGCAATGGCAAACCTCTTCTGAATCAATCTTGCAAGGAAAACCTGTCATAATTCAAGAACAACTTGGAAGTCAAACAACAACAAAAATAGGGACAGTCCATGTTTGAAATACAACTCATTATCAGCTTTTTAATGTGTTTAAGGAACTTTTTGGCATAAAAATAGAAAAAGAGGACTTCCAAAGTTTACATTAACTTCCATAAGTGAAAGCATCTGTATGCACAGAGTGTACTAGAAAAAATTGTTTTATATCAGCAATGGAAAAAGTGTTGATCATGAGTTCCACGTGGACCTAACTCCCATTTTTATGCTTCCCTCCAAAACTCAATTTAAAAAAAAAAACCTTTGATTTCATCAATGCTTTTAAAATTACTTTCTGAAGTGGCATTGCCCAAACCTCTTAAAACTTCAGGTTTTCATCCACAAGATGGAAATCGTTTTGGGTGATTTTAAAGATCTGGTGTTCTCTGTTGTTGATAATGATGATGATTTTGTTGGGATGCTCTTGATAACTGAGCAACGCTTTCAAAGCTATAATATTATTTCTTTGTGTTTTCTTGGCTAAGAATACCAGAAGATACTCTTCACATAAAAAGTATCTAATATAATATAAGACTTTAATCCAACATAAGGCCACATTTAAATAATAAAAAGTATATCTGCTTGTAATCTTCCTAGCAGTGTAATGGTTGAGTTCCATATTCATAGACTAAAATCACAAATGTACATTGTAAAGTAATCATGGGTTGTAGCATCATAAAATCTTTATGACTAATATTTTGTGATCTATGTGTTCATTTCAGGGGGAAAACTTAAAAGCTAGTCATTTATAATTAAAGAAGATGGTCATGGTCATAGGGCTTTTATGCAGGTGTTAATGTATTGTTTTGTGTAGATATCTGTTTTAAGAGAGGTAAGTATGCTTTGGGTTTTCTGGAAAATTTTCAATTAGAGACTACCAGAAAAAAAAATCACTGTCCTAAAATCAGTGGCTATGTATTTGTATTTATTTGAATGCATATTTAATAAATAGAACTTTTAAAAGCATCAGGTTAATGATGTGTTGTATTCAAAAAGCTTTTCCATTAGCCCAAAGTAATTAAACTTAGCTAGAATTGCTAGATGGGAGGTAGAATGTTTTTAAAGGTTTGTGTGGTTTGATTTATAACTTGTAGTCACACAAATTCAGTTTATTTAGAATATATTCTTACAATGGGAAACATTATTTCCTGAAAGATTTGTACATCAGTAGTAATCCTTTTATCATCTCATGATTTGATTTTTGTTTGTTTTTAAAAGGAAGGCGCTAAGTGTTAGCATCCTAATTTTAGCATATCTGCAGAGTTGTGCATGCTAATTTGCAACTTTGATCTCAGTTTGAACTAGTGGTGTTGCCCTTTCATTCGCAGTGTCACTTGCATTGTGTTCATTTATTGTGCATTTTTATCCAGCAATTCATTTCTGAACCTGGATTTTTTCCCCCCTGCATTACCTTTATGACATCTCTGATCTTCTGGTGCTCGTATCTGCACTGGGAAGTTAAATAGTGAAAAAGAAAAAAGACATTTACTTACTGAAGTAAAGGAGGAACATTGCTGGCAATGCTTTGCCTTTTCTCTTTGTTTCTTAAGAGTTGTGTGAATTCTCATGTATCTTTGGGTCCCTGAAGGAGAGGCGGCAAGGCTATGGCCCATTAGCTCTAGTCTCCTCCACAAAGTCTGCCTCTGTGAGGAGTTGCTATTAAGGCATAAAGTGTCCCGATTTATGGCCTATACAATGTAAACAAGCAGTGATTCTGTTGCTGCCTACAATCTTGTTCCGAGTAATTTTTTATTCAAGAAAAAGACAAAATAGAGTACACAAATGATATGTAAAACTACCAAAAACTACACATCTATGTAGTACCCACTACTACTAAACTACAACTACATTACTATCAAATTAAGGGGCAGTAGAGATCCAGGCAGTGGCTGCAGAAGGAGCTATGATCACTGTATGCATTTGAGGGCTTGTGTTTTGCCAACCCCGCTATAAAGCAATTTAACAAACTCTCCTGAAGTACAAGATGTTTCCAAAACATGGACCCGATTTTGAAATCACTGTATCTCTGCCATTGCCAATTGCCCATGAATGAAACCCTTACCACTTGAAAGTATGGAGCATTATTGCCGCTAAATGCCTCTCCCAGAGCACAAACAGCCCCTGTGCTCAGTCATTTATAAGATGGCAACCCTGCAACATGACCTATTGAGATATTTTCCATTTGAGAGGTTTTTTTATAAAAAAAAAAAATTCTCGAAATGGTTGGTATAACTTTATAACTCCTTAAACGGTTTGTAGCATTTTGTGTAACATGTTGCTATCTTGAAATTTCCCAATATTCCAGCCCATTCCAGCATGGTCGAGGAACAGGACCACAGGCAAATAAATGTAATTAAGGTCTGTTGTGATTCGTGTTAGATTTCATTGATCAAAATAAAGATGTTTTGATGTGAGACATATTGACCAAAGAACAAAACCTGCCTACTACCTGTGACCCTGGTTTGCTTCCTGTGTTGGCAGTGATACGTGTCCAATTTGCAGTAATTATGGCATATGTCTGGTTATGTCCCATATCCAGTTCATGTGTTTACTCTTCTCTTTTATTTTATCTAGGTACTTGAAGAATCCAAAGGTTTAGTTCGTGGTATTATGAAGGTGGACTTGGAACAAGCAAATGATAGGGAGTGTGAAGTTTTAAAGAAAATTTGGGGATCTGCCCAAGGAATGGACTCCATGTTAAAATACTTGCAGAGGAAGATTGATGAATTTTGAAGCAATGCGCATTGACACTGGAATTGTATCTACTTGGACGTCTGGGTTTTGTTGATGCCCTAAACGAATTTAAATATCAAAAATGAAATCTGCCCAACGCTCATGAAGCGTGGGACTAAAAGTTGGAAAAACATGGTTTTATTGTCAAGGGTTTTTTAAAAGAAGTACTGTATGTTACGCATTGAACAAATTTCCTTTCTCCATATATAGATATAAATATATATATTTCTTTATATACACAAACTAAAATATATATATAATGGAGTGCACTACCAAACTTTTTGTCTTCTACTTTGTTATCATTGGCTAGTACTGTATCTGAAGAAAATGATGAATAAAATGAGGCATTGCATTATTTTGTATGTGGCAGGAAGGTCCTGAAGCAATGAGATATTTTTTCACTAGAGTACAGAATTAAAACGGGTATTGGCCAGCCCTTGCTTTCACTGCCCAAAAGAAGTCAGTTAAGAAGAGGCATTGCCTTGTTTTCCGAAGAAGGTTAGAAATACCTCAAGGACAGATGCATTCTAAAAAATCAATTATTTTTTAAATATGAAACCCTGCAAAAATGGTGTGTATATTCTCTCCCCCTCCCATCCCCAACCCCAAAAATGAGTGTGCTCAGGATTTATGCTATTAAAAAAAACACTCAGTCCTTCTTGTTTTGGGGAGCATGCCCATTTCTTACCCAGAAAGCATGAAGTTGAGAAGAAGAAGAAGAAAAGCTTCATTTTGCAGTATTAGTGAATCACTGAAATACCATATATTCTATGGGTATCTTAAATTATAGCTTAGTCTTAGTAGGTTTTATACAAAAATTAGTTTTTTCGGATTATTTTAACGAAATAATTGCTTCTGTTGCTGGGTGAGAAAACTATACTATATAAGGTTGTTTTTTTCTGTTTTTTCGTTCTTTTGTTTGCTGGTTTAATTAATGGATTACACCAAAAATGTGTATTATGTTCAATTTTTTTTAGCTTCACTTAGAATATATTTTATTTAATAAGTTAAAATTCTTTTGGCACACTATTAAATATTCTTTTTTTAAAAAAAAAAACTACCTTATAGTAGATGTTTAATATCTTTTTTTTTTTGTCAGTGCTTTTTAATGTTAATTATATGGCCCTGGTCCAGAGATCTTTCCATGCAGCAGCAGGCAAAATTGCATTCTGCAGTGGATGGAGGTCTCAAGCGTAAAATACACAATTAGTGCCGTTTTCCTGGTTGCCAGTTGGAGAATGGGTGCGTGAAAGTAGAAATACCACCCCAAACGCTTGACCAGTCGTGCTTGATGCAGGAGTACTTACCACACACGCAAACACCAAGTGCCAGAAGCATTTTTTCCTCCCCCCCCCACATCCCCACATCCTTCCCAAACAGACACACAAACACAGTGCCCTTTTGTGTGCATGAAACTGTATCCAGAGGAGCAATTTGCCCATGAGAGCCAGTCCTCCCATGTGCGGGTAGCCATTTCTGGATCAGGGAGTGTCACATCCAGTATGGTGTACAAGGGTGCCCTGTGAAAACAGACTTACTTTGCATTCCTTTTGGGAGTGTTATGAAGATTCCTGACTCCAGATATCTTTCAGTAACTTGGGTATCTGCGCTTGCAATCTTACTGAATGTATGAAGAATTGTTGGGGAGGGGGAAATCAGACCTTATTTTTGTACAGTTTGGAACTTTATACTTCGAGCTTGACCACCTCATCCTAAACGGAGGGATGTACAGTGTGTAAATCTGCTTTTACCTTGGATTGGTACAGTATTTTTGCATCTGTGGGACCTACTTTTTGTTGTTCTTAGTAGTTTGAACTATATATAAACTGTACAATCTGTAAAGTTTTTATAGAATAAATATTCAGTTGTGAACTGGTTAAAATAAAACTAATATTTCTTAACACCTCTTAAAAGTGCTGTGATGTGTGCTCATCTTTCTCCTTCCCGTATTTATCCTCCTCTTCCTGTAAAATAGCTCATTCTGGGTTTTCTAGAGTTTTAAATTTTCTGTTTTTTAAAGTGTGTTTGTGGATGGATGGACGGACGGACGGACAAAAAAACGCAAAAAACGGGGACGAGTGCATAGAACATGAATACAAAACAGGAATACACTTTGCTATAAATTTACCATTTTTCCCAAAAATACATTTTTCTTGGAGTCAATGTCCATAAAATATACGATCATGCATGATTTTTAATAATTTCATATTCATTGCCTATTTTCTTGACAGACTGTACTTCTTAATTTTCTGATTTGCAGATACAAGAAATGAGAGAGGCTGTATGAAAGGTCAACAGATTAACCCTTCACTCTGCTCAATTTGTTAGTTCCTTCCCTGTAGATATAACAGGATTAGCGCTTTCATTTGGTGTCAAGTGGAAAGTTCAGTCTCTGCTGGAAAGTGTATTTGTATTATCTCTTGGACCCAAGGCCAAAAAAGGCACATGGGTCTATTCTGCTTCCAGATGATTAATGTTTTCACACAGTTACAACAGCAATTATATTTTCTTTGTTCAGAGTCTGGGTCATTTATTTTTTTTTGTTCTCCATGTTTAAGGAAATTAGAAAGCAGTTCACTTAACCATTTGAAGAATAAAGTTGTATTTAAATGTGACAGGGATTTACATAACATAACCTAGTATTATAATAATGGAGCCCCTGGTGGTGCAATGGAGCCCCTGGTGGTGCAATGAAGACAGATAGGTCGGAGGTTTGAATCCAGGGAGAATGCAGATGAGCTCCCTCTGTCAGCTCCAGCTCCCCATGCGGGGACATGAGAGAAGCCTCCCACAAGGATGGTAAAACATCAAATACATCTAGGCATCCCCTGGGCAACATCCTTGCAGAAGGCCAATTCTCTCACACCAAAAACGACTTGCAGTTTCTCAAGTCAGTCCTGATACGAAAAAAAAATTATAATAATATAAAGTATGAAAACTTCATTTTTATTATATAATATATGATCTTATATACAGACCATGTAATAATAATTTTTTTCTCTGCTACCCATCTCTCCTCACGGCTTGAGGCAGATTACGACACCGTGATAATATATCAAAATAAAATGCATATATTAAAACATATTTCTATAACATACAAATTGAAATACCGGCAGTCCCCAAGTTACAAACAAGATAGATTCTTTAGGGTTTGTTCTTAAGTTGAATTTGTATGTAACTCAGAACAGGTACAATTTTTAAAGGGTAATGCCAGCCTAGAGAGAGAGGGCAAGCTTTGGATAGCACAGGAAAGAGTTAACACCCCTGTGACATTTGTTTTGCTGTCTGTGCCCTGGTTCAGAAGATTGCACCTCACTTTTTGTCTGAGTGATAATTTGATTTTTGAAATATTTGGCTTGTTGTGGAAACAAGGATTGGTGATAAACCTTCCGTTGGGACACCTTTTCCCTATGATAACACTTTCAGGAAGGAATTTCCCTTCCTAAGGGTAGATTTCTCCCAATTCCTGTTGTCTCATCCCCATTCTTAGCTGTGAGATGTCTGTAAGTCGGATGTTTGTAAGTCAGGGACTGCCTGTACATGGAACAAATATTAAAATACAATAGACATAGAATGTGAATTTAAATTTCATAATTAAATATTAGGTAGGCCTGCAGGAAGAGATAGGTCTTCACTTATGTCTTTAATTCTGACGGCTGATTTAACTGTCGGAGCTCTTCCAGCAGGTCATTCCATAGTCTTGGGGCACCTGGTGAAAAGGTCCTCTGGGTAACAATTGCCAATTGGGTTCTGGCAGGCTGGAGACACCCCAGTGTCCTAAAGGGTAGATTGTATGGGAGAAGTTGATCCTATAGGTAACCTGGACCCAAACCATGTAGGTCAAATCCCACACTTTGTACTTTGCCTGGAAACCGATTGGCAACAGGTGGAGTGACTTTAATATGGGTGTAATATGCTTTTGGCAGGTTATTCCACCATCCAGTTATACAAATGGCCAGAATCCTAATTAATTTTGGAACCCCTTCTTTTAGTTTTTTAAAGATTAAATTCTCTTCAGAGCTTATTTTACGATTCGAATAATCTACCCTCTTACAACAAAAACCTACAACAACCCAATCTACCCTCTTGTCTTGGTAGATGAGAAGGTGGAGAGGCTTACATATTAGCCTATACAATATGATCCCCATATCCATGAGATCAGCACCCACAGTTTCATTTATCCACACTGGACAAAATATCTAGCCATTTTCAAGCATCTAGAATGCAATTCAGTGGTATTTTGGGACCAGAAGTCATTCATTTCAATAGGATTCTCTTTTATCCACTGTTTTCCATATCCATGTGAAATCCATGGAATGCATTTGTCTTTGAAATGGAGATGAGCATCACACTCCAGAGTCGGACATGACTGGACTTAATGTCAGGGGAAAACCTTTACCTTTACCTATGTTGTAAAGCGCCTTGAGTCCCCCTGGGACTGACTTCTCTCTGATTTTCTTTTACATCATGATTGTTTTATTGACTGTTAAGATAATAGAATGAGATTTGATAGACTTGCTTAAAAGGCACATGTCTAAATTTCAGAAATGAGTGACAGCTTGAATTTCTTGGAGATTGCCAATGGAAATGTTTAAATGAAAAGGACGTTCTAGTACAGTGGATCTCAACCTGTGGGTCCCCAAGTATTTTAGCCTACAACTCCCACACACACCCCCACTCACAAGTTCACAGAACAGGCCAATGAGTGTCACGTTGTAAGCATAGTATGAGAAGAGCAAATTGTTTTCGTCAAAGTCACACATGCATATTTAAGTGAGATGTGATCCTTGGAACTTTTTACTCGGAAGGCGCATTTGCTGCTATAACTCTACCCTCATCAGCATCATAACACATCTTCCGCATACCATATTGAGACAGGAAAAGACCTTCAGACCTTCTGACAGGAAAATAGAGGGCTTCTTGAAGGAAGAGAAAATGAAGAACTGTTTCTTTATTTCTCCCTGACAGTAGTAATTGCCAGTTTTAAGACTTGCCTGGCGACAAGCCCAGGAAAGCAAAAACCACGATGTCAACTCAGCTGACAAGCATATTACGATTTCCATGTTTGGGAGCTAAGAAGCCACCTGAAGAATTCAACAGTGATTTGTAAACAAGGCATTTCGATTTGTTTTTCTATATTTTCAAATGACAAAGGTTTAAGCAAATTACTCTAACTGTTGAATGAAAATCCCATTGTTTAAAGGAAATATAAGGAGAGGCCTAACTGAGTTCGATCAGGCTATCTGTGAATCGTGGCCAGCCCAGTGATTTTTGACAGGGCATGACAACCGAGTACTGCCATTGTAGCTACACCAGGTAATTGCATGCACATTGCACACCTCTTTTCAGTAAAGCAGTGCCCAACCAAGGGGTTTCCAAAATGCTATAGACCTGTGATGGCGAACCTATGACACGTGTGTCAGCAGTGACACACATAGCCATTTTTGATGACACACGGCCAGATACACAGAAGAATGGGGTCGCATCCCAAGAAGGACATTTCATCCTCGGCTCCTGTACCAGCATTTTTCTATAATGCCGAGATATATGGCATTATAGAAAAAATAAGGTAAGTTAAATAATTAGTTTTTTTGGTTTATTAAATTCAGTTATATATTACAATAATATATTTTTTTGTTATAATTGGTTTTTTTTTCTTGAAGTGACACCCTACCTGAGTTATGCTCAGTTTTTTGGCAAGTTTTGACACACCAAGGCCTTCCCAGTTCTCGGTGTTGATGCCACCATTTTTAAGGTTGGCTTTCAGCTCATCTTAAAGATGGGCATCTCCCAGCACCACAATCTGAACTGTCCAAGAAATCCTTCATTTGAGATCTTCCCTGGCTCAAAAGGTATGTATTGAGGGTGCGGATAACATTCAGTTATTAATTACCATAAATGTGGATCCCCAACTTGACAAGACTGTAAATCCATTTTACGATTCCATGAGTGCTTAACAGGACGCCAGTTTTGTTTTACTTCCCAAATCACACAAATTCAGGGCATGATAGCCCATTCAAATGCTTTTAGGATCCTTATAATTCCCCTGCCAACAAATGCATATTCAAAGAACCTCTTTGAATTTCTGGCAGCAAGGGTTAGCTGGAAATCCTTCCCAATCCATTCCTGTCGTTGGCACTGAAACTGGAAATTGTCTACCATCATTAAATTTGCAGTTACTTGACTACACTGTTGAAATATTGAATAATGAAAGACAAGGTTCTACATCTCCCAGAATATCATCCTGCTATTAACAAGCAATGCCTCATGGAAAGAAATGCCACTGATAGGAATTGTCACAGATGATCATCTTGAGGATTCTGTGATTCCCTGGCTATGTCCCTGGCTATGTTCCTGGGAGCCTGCTCACACACACCCCAGAAAGTGCACACTTTCTGGGGTGGGTGTCCAGACATTCTCCCAGGACTAGCCCGGGAGAACATCTGGTGGCCCTACCCATTTCCCCAGAAGCCCCGAGACCCTTCTGAAAAGTAAAAAAAACTTACCTGGCCTCCAGTATACTCTCGGAGCATTTTCCTCCCCTTCCCCTGCTTTCCTGGTGCGTCAGGGTTTTTTTTTTAACTTTTCAAAGAGGTTTGGGGCTTTGAGGGGAGGGGTGAGTATTCCCACAATTTATTGGGTTTATTTAGCCTGGTAAACTTTGGGAATGGTGTCTGGACAGTAGTCCGGTAAGTTGTGGGTTTATCCCACGCCTTCCAAGGAAGCGTGGAATAAATCCACTATCTAAGTAATTTGCAACAAGCCAGGGTTCTCCTGGTTTGTGGTGAATTAATTCAGGGTTGTCCAGAACGTTGTCTGGACAGCACCTCCTTTATTGCAGTAGATATAGCCCTCACTCTCTCATCTGAGGGGATTTCCTTTTTATTCCCTCAGGGTGCTTCCAGACAGCACC